CCAGCGCCGCCCCGTGATGGAAATGGAGTTCGGGGAACACCCTCTGACGGCCCTCTCCCTTCCGACGGGGGGCACCTCTGTGGTGGTGGGCAACACCCGCGGCGAGGTGGCCGTGCTGGACCTGAGGAAGGGCCTGGTGAGGGGGGTCCTGAAGGGTCTGTGTGGGGGGGTGAGGGCCCTGCAGTGCCACCCCTCCCTCCCCATCGTGGCCTCCTGCGGTCTGGACCGGTTCCTCCGGATCCACAGCCTGGGGGACAGGAAGCTCCAGCACAAGGTCTACCTCAAGTCCCGCCTGAACTGCCTGCTGCTCGCCAGCCAGCGGGAGGAGTGGGGGGGCGGGGCAGGGGCGGGGGGCGAGGAGGTGAAGAAGGAGGAAGAGGAGGAGGAGGAGGAGGATGAGGTGTGGGAGAACATGGAGAGGGTGGAGGAGCAGGGGAAGAGGAAGAGTACAACAGAAGAGGAGGAGATGCTGAAGAAGAAGAGCAAGAAAGGAGAGGATTGAGGCGTTTGAGGCCCGGTCACAGTGTGGGACATTTGAACGCTGTGAGGCTGAAACTGAGATGTATTTTGTGATATTTTGTCTGAGAGCTTTATTAAAATAACAGCTTGTACTCACGACTCCTCTTAAGTTATTATTTCAATCAGACGAGCCTCACCTGAAGCCCATTCGCTCAGACGGGGTTAATGATCTGTGGATGTGGGTCCACCCGTCCTATCAGTCAGATAGAGACTAGAACTATATATCTAGAGCAGTGGTTCTCAGCTGGTCAGGCCTCGGGACCCGCTTTTTCCTTTGTCAATACATAGCGACCCAACATTTTGAACCACTCGAATCTATTCAACAAAACATGGTGCAGTAATATATCTATAGATATACATATATACAGTGGGGCAAACAAGTATTTAGTCAGCCACCAATTGTGCAAGTTCTTCCACTTAAAAAGATGAGAGAGGCCTGTAATGTTCCTCCTAGGTGTACCTCAACTATGAGAGACAAAATGAGAAGAAAAATCCATAAAATCACATTGTCTGATTTTTAAAGAATGTATTTTCAAATTATGGTGGAAAATAAGTATTTGTTCAATAACAAAAGTTCATCTCAATACTTTGTTATATAACCTTTGTTGGCAATGACAGAGGTCAAACGTTTTCTGTAAGTCTTCACAAGGTTTTCACTGTTGCTGGTATGTTGGCCCATTCCTCCATGCAGATCTCCTCTAGAGCAGTGATGTTTTGGGGCTGTCGCTGGGCAACACGGACTTTCAACTCCCTCCAAAGATTTTCTATGGGGTTGAGATCTGGAGACTGGCTAGGCCACTCCAGGACCTTGAAATGCTTCTTACGAAGCCACTCCTTCGTTGCCCGGGCGGTGTGTTTGGGATCATTGTCATGCTGAAAGACCCAGCCACGTTTCATCTTCAATGCCCTTGCTGATGGAAGGAGGTTGTCAGTCAAAATCTCACGATACATTCATTCTTTCCTTTTTTCCTTTACACGGATCAGTGGTCCTGGTCCCTTTGCAGAACAACAGCCCCAAAGCATGATGTTTCCCCCCCCATGTTTCACAGTAGGTGTTCTTTGGATGCAACTCAGCATTCTTTCTCCTCCAAACACGTCTAGTTGAGTTTTTACCAAAAAGCTCTATTTTGGTTTCATCTGACCATATGACATTCTCCCAATCCTCTTCTGGATCATCTAAATCAGTGGTCGCCAACCAGTCGTCCGGTCGATCGCGAGTGTGGTACGGGTAGATCGCGGACCGTTAAAAAAAA